AGATAAAGATTAGAATTTTGTAATATTATATAAATAGAACATCGTATTACTCATTTAGGCATGATAAAAATCAATAATATACCAGAGTGATCGAGGCTGCGGCAAATCAGCTCAAACTTGCCCTCCACGCCCTCGTTTCGAAAGCTCCTGCGGTCATAGAACTCCATGATGCCTATGCAGAACGACAACGATGAGGACAAGAACTCAGTTAGGTTTTTCGTTGTGTTGTTTTAATGTTATTTCTCAGCTTCCATAATTATTTTGTTGACAAATAATATTTTACATAATAAATTTATCAAATTTACTATATTCATTACATATTATTTACTAAAATAGGAGAATTGTAAATTTTTTTCATTATTATCTTCATCTTTTCATAATAAAATATCATTTTTACTAATAATTTCCTAATTAAATAGAAAATTGATAAATGACATTCTAAATTTAGATTTAAAGAGAAGAAGAGAGAAGTAGGAAAAAATAAATAAGCTATAAAATAAATGATGGGTTAAAAACATTAAATATAAAGTATATATATGAAAGTACATATATAATTATCGCTTTTTTACGTTTTTGGTAAAAAATATATATATGTAAATTACGTCATAGGGTTGGTTTTAAAAAATTTTATGAAATTGGATGAAATCGAATTAGGAAGCATGATTTCAATAAAAGGAAATTGTGCTCGCCAAAATGATTTCAGTGAACTTATACTGAAATAGTAATAGATAATACGAGTTTTTTTTTTAACTTTTACTACCTAGCACCACTTTGCAAATTTTTTTAATATAAATATTTGATTTTTTTTTACATAAATAGCTTGTTTTAAAATTAATTAATTAATTTTGATTTAATTATTAAATTGAAACAAAAATAAAGATATTATGAAAAGTATACGCATGGATAAATTTCAATTAGTAAATTTATATTAAATAGAAATAAAAAATACATATATTACTGCAGAAAAAAAAATTAATAGTGTGATTCTATCCCACAATATGATCTTTTAATTTGTCACCTTGATTTACATGATTGGTCCTAAGTAAGCATTTGTTGTACTTGTGACGATGTGCTTGGTTGGGTTGAATATTTGTTTCTCTGTCATCATTATTAGTATTAATATCTTGATCCTTTTCATTTGCATATTGCATAGGAGGTATGTTAGGCATAGTAAACATAAAAAGACCTTGATTATATGCTTACTGTAGTGTTATGGAAGAGATAGAAAACATATTTGTTTTAGAGCGAAATGAAATAAATGTATAAGAAACATGAGTTCCATATTGAAATTGTCTAGGTAATTTTTGAAGTTGGTCAATATATCTGATAAATAATAGATAAGATTGTTCACTAATTAGACCAACATGTTGATGACTCGATTGATCAATATATTTGACTAAGCAATATGTTGATCAGTTGACTAACAATATTGACTAACATGTTAGTGTTATTCTTCCTACTATATATCATATTGTTGAAAAAAAACAATATTAGTTTCATATGAATATTATTATATTTAAAATAAAATAAGTTATATACTTAATCGTCTAAATGTTCTAGTTAAATAGAGAAAATATATTTAATAGTGTGTTTAAAATACTATATCATATATGTTATATTTTCAGCCAATCGTTCCCTAAATTAAACTATTATAATGATCATTCCACATAGTAATTCAAACATCATGATATTGCCGCCATAATTTATCAGTTATACTTATCATGTCTTCTCTTCGAAGTTTGTTCATATTAATTGAATCTTTTAAAATTGGTTGGTAAAGACCAAATTGTCTCATAACCCGATTTGATGAATAAGGTTTAACCGTAACAAAACATATAATTGAAATTACAACACGACTTATAAGAGAAAACTCAATTTATTAATTATCATAACCCAGCTCAACGATAAAGAGTATACAAAAATAATATTATTATATAAGACATGATTATCATTATCATGATTTAAAAATATATATATTAAAAGTTTTTTTAGAAACAAATACAGAAGTAACAAATGAATGATTTGATGTGATATCATCTATCAAATAACGCATGTATAACATATGCGATAATGTTTGATCTTTGACATGTGATCACATATTACATGAAAAAGTTATTTAAAATTTTGAAAAATAAAGTAATTTAAAAAATAAATTAATATCATACATTTATATCCTAAAATAGAAAATAGACAAATTAAAAAAAAAAAAGTCCCCGTGATTTTCAAGTTTTCCTTTCACCTTATATCAAATGACAGAACAGAAGCATGCCGAGTTTCCTCCTCCCCCTCTTTTCTTCTTGCAACTCTACATTTTTTTTCTATTACTTTTTTTTTTTACTTTAGACAATACCTATTATTCTCAATGTATTATGTGAATATTTTTAGGCCCAAACAGTGCAAGCCCAATAAGAAACAATCAAAATTTTAAAGTTACAATTTTGGGCTTACATTTCGTCGAGAAGCATAAGGTGAAGGGCAGAAAGACATGATGAACAAAAACAAATCACCTTTCTTGTTTTTTGAATTTTAACTCAAAATCTCTTGTTTTTTTAATACTGTACAAAAGAAGAAAATTACTTCTAAAATATTTTATTTATTTATTAATATGTACGAGCAAATAAAAAATTAAAGAAAAAATATAATTCAATTATAAAATCATCAAGTTTTAACACATTTCGAAAACTATCGTTTCAGAGTGTTGACATTTTAACACAAGGAAATTCGTTTTTCAAAATGTCAAAAAAAAAAACTTGTAATACTTAATTATTTCATTTATTAAAATAAAAATTCTTAATTTAGGTTATAATAATAAATATATTCTAATATTTTATTTTTCTAAAATGTTAGTGTCATTGTTTTTAACTCTCTACTGTACAATTTGTTTTATCGTGTCTAAAAATCTTCTATTATTTAGAAATTAAAAATCAGAATAGTATATAAGTATACAATCTCTTAATCCACATATATACTTTTAAAATAAAACCATAATAAGAATATCGATTTTTAATAATATTATTTTATTTCTAATTTCATTTTAAATTATTCATTATTGTAACATTTGTGGGTATTCATACTTCACCAGGGATGAAACTAATAATTTTTGTACGAATAAAACTTAATTAATATATATACATTAAAATTAGTAATTACATAAAAAATAAAAATATACAAATATAAGATTTTATGTGAGAATAAAGAATGTATTATTATTATTTTAGTGATAAGAGATAAAAGTACAATGAATTAAATTGAAAAATTTATCAAAGAAATTTATACCTCTGCACTTCGTAGCACACCCTTTTCTTCTTCATCATCTTCTTCTTTTTTTGTTCTTCAGATTTTTCACTTGAACACCACAGATAATTTTACTTTCTCGTTATCGATTTATTTCTATTTTTACTCTCCTAAACAAAATACAGAAGCAGACTGTAGGTAATTACTCCCCCGCAGATAAAGTATATTTCCAACCTCAAATAGAAACTTTCTTGAAGTATTATCAAACATTTAGAGCATGAAAATATGCGCGGTCAATATTAATTTGTTGTATACTCCGTGGATTGATTGCAATAGCTTATAATGGAGCAGGCACAGCTATCAGGCCTGTTGCATTGCAGACATCAAAAAAGAAAAAAATGGATATAATATAGTACAAATTTATGCAAATGCAATGGGGTTGTCGCATGAATGCCCTAAACATGTTGATTAATATAGTACCAATGTCATGTCTGTTCAAGGTTGAAACAGAGCACTCAGTGCAGAGGTGGTGCATGTACCATAAGAAGCGCTGGGGTTGTCTGATTATCGGCAATTTAGGCCATTGTTAGTGGACAAGAAGCATGGCTTTTAGCTAAATTAATTACTTAGTGTTTACTTCTAAATGTAAGTATTTATTTGTTAAGTGTTTTAAATTGTAAGCATGGTTCAAACAAATATTTTTTTACCTCTTAGTTTCTCCATGTGGCAAAAATTCCTCCAACAAACATGAAATACTCAAAAGTGAATTCTCTATCTAATATACTTTAATAAATAATAACCCTGGGACTACTATCGCGGCGTATTGAAGATAATAGACGTGAGAATAATAAAAATCATAAGAAAACTGCTATTATTTAAAATTGATGCAATTAACACGAAACAAGAGAATAATAAAAAAATTCTTGAACTAATTGTATCCTTTGATCCAGCCAAATTTATCAGGTTTCACGGGTTTTATTTAGTCTGATTTTTCCATCTATCAATAAAAGTTGAGTTTTATTAAGAAACAAGTGTCCAACTTATTTTCAACTGGATAAATTGAACATGATTGCCTGAGTCGGTTTTTAAGACCATGGTTAAAAGGACTGTGATAAAGTAAACGCTAGTTACAGGTGTTTTAAATTTCTGAGGTACTTCTAGGGTGTAGATTCTCTACAAGTTCCAATAGCTGTCAAAAACACTGGCGCAACTATTGAAGCATGAAGACAAACATAATTGAGAGAAAGAAAAAAAAAAAAAAAAAACAGCTTAAAAACGTATCTATATGTACGTGTAAAGTTATGTTACACACAACACAGGGACAGTGTGAGTAGAATATGCATCTCGTAGCCTCGCATGCTTCCTCGAATACCCACACACCACACCCAATGCCATCCAGACTGTCATCTAACGTCTCTCTTTCCCTCTCCCAACAGACACTTTTCTTCTAAACTCTCTCCACACACACACACACCTCATCCGCCACACGTGCTTCCCACGCTCCTCCATCACACACTCTTTGCTTTGCGCGTGGACTAAACTACTCCCACTAACTCCGTGGATTAGGGCTACACTTCTTAGTCTTGAATAAAGAAACGCGTTAAAGAGTGTATAGCTCTGTGCCAGTGCGCCACACTTATCCAGCTTCAAATTTTCTCTCTTCAACACAGCTCTCACTTATATATACTCCTCTCTAAACACCCACCTTACACAAACAAAATTTACAAGCCAACTTAACTTGTTGGCCCGCACCCTTAGTTCAAAAAATGTCAACCTTTCTCTTGAAAATCTTTCTTCTCATTTCTATCTTTCACATTTCTTTGGCCACCAGGAGGTTGAATGAGTTGGTGCAAAACCCGACTCAGCTTCTTCATTACCACAATGGCCCTCTTCTCTCTGGCAAAATCTCAATCAACTTCATTTGGTACGGTCACTTCAAATCTTCCCAGAAGGCCATAGTCTCCGATTTCATCACCTCACTGTCCTCTCCCACACATAGCACCCAACCATCCGTCGCCACATGGTGGAAAACCACTGAGAAATACTACCACCTCACCGGTACTAAAAAAACCACCCCTAAACTTTCCCTTTCACTTAACAAGCAGATTCTCGACGAAAGGTACTCGCTCGGAAAATCCCTCACGACCAAGAACCTCATTGAGTTGGCTTCCAAGGGTGAACACAGAAACGCCGTCAACGTTGTTTTAACCTCAGCTGATGTGGCTGTTGAAGGCTTCTGCATGAGCCGATGCGGGACACATGGTTCCTCCTCGGTAGGCCATGCCATGGGGAGCAACAAGAGCTACAAGTTCGCTTACGTTTGGGTTGGGAACTCGGAGACTCAGTGTCCGGGCCAATGTGCGTGGCCGTTTCACCAACCTATTTATGGGCCGCAGGGCCCACCGTTGGTAGCGCCCAACAATGACGTGGGCCTTGATGGAATGGTGATGAATCTGGCGAGCCTGTTGGCGGGGACTGCGACAAACCCGTTTGGGAATGGATTCTTCCAGGGCCCCGCAGAGGCGCCGCTGGAAGCCGCATCTGCGTGCCCTGGGGTTTATGGTAAAGGGGCTTACCCTGGTTTCGCTGGAAACTTGCTGGTGGATTCTTCTACAGGTGCGAGCTACAATGCGCACGGTGGTAATGGAAGGAAGTACCTGCTTCCTGCTTTGTATGACCCTTCCACGTCATCCTGTTCCACGCTAGTTTGAGGAGCACTATTATCATATTAGTTGTTAGGCATATATTCATTCATTCGTTTATATGTTTTGATTATAGGGATTAAGAAGGCAGAAGCAAATTATATAGGTTTGCTTTGAAATGTTAGTGTATTTTTTATTAATCAATCAATTAATAGAATCAACCTCTCTTTCAGACTTTCATCATTATTATTTCTTATTTCTTAAATCATATATGTAAATTAAACTCATCAAACAGTTAATAAGATTAAAAAAAAAAAATAGTCAAAGCATATTAAAAGAACAAGGTGAAGACAGAAATAAGCTTGTCTCATTATTAGATGCAGTATGTGGAGAAACATTGGAGTGTATAGGATATCTTATGATATCTAATATTTTATTTTATTCCTTTTGAATAATGATAAAATGTTTTTATTTTAATTAACAATAGTACTTCTATTAAATCATTATTTAATTTAATTATTATAGTTAGATAACTTTTATCAAATTTTTAAATTTCATTTTAGCTATATTAAATCAGTAATACTCATTTATAATAATACATTTTAAGTTTTATAATATAAATTTATTATTATAATTTATAAAAATTAAATAAAAATAATTAATAATTAAAATATAATATAATTATTATTATTTAAAATTAATGCGATTAATATAAGATAAAAAAACTAAAAAAATTATATTTATTTAAAATTTGTATTTATTTATTTCAAGATTATTTTTAATTAAAATTAATAAAAATACAAGTAATTTTATTGATTCTGAACTATTATTTTTATTTTAAGTACTAATAGAAATTTTATATTTTACAAATATATTTTTATAAAAAATAAAATTATTTTTTTATTAATGACACTAATTCAATTAAGATTTTGTTATTTAAAAATAACATACAATTTTTTAAATTAATTCTCAATTAAATTAAATTTATTGAATTGAATTCGATTTTTAAAGTAATATAAAAAACATTTTGAAGTAAGAAATTATATCTTTGGAGAGTTGAATATATGAGATGACACAAAAAATAAAATTGTGTAGTTTGATTAGAATTATGAATACGAATAAATTATAATAAAAATTAAGAAAATATGTAAGTCTTAATTAAAAAAAATTATCAAAACAATCATATTTTAAAATTATGTTTTTAAACACAAATTTTATTTATCTTTTTTTTAACTCTAATACACAATTTCATATAACTTTTTTTCTTTTTAGTGAAAGCACGACTTTTTATAATACTATTTAATAATTTACTTATCATTGTTAATTAATAATATTATTTATCAATTAAATTGATAATCATTAAAAATTTATTATAAATAATAACTTATTATAATAAAAATTAGTAATAATAATATTAAGTTAATTATTTATATTAATTAATTTATTAAAATGTTTATTATTACTATTTTATTTATTAAAGTTATGATTATTTTTCTTATTTATTATAATTATAATAATGTTAATTATTATTATTATTATTATAAAATAAAATAAAATAGTAATATCACTATAATAATATATAATTATAATAAAATTATTAAAATAATAAACTTAATAATAATTATTATAATAAATTATTAAAATAATAAACTTAATAATAATTATTATAATAAAATTAAATAAAAATGTGATGATAATAATAATAATAATAAATAATGAATTTTATTATTATTATTATTATTAATTTTATGATTTATGATTATTATTATTTTAAATATTAAATAATATTATAAATATATAAAAAGGTGAAAAGTATATATAGTGAAATAATGACTAAATTACGACTGTGAAAAAAAAATTAAAAGTTGTGTTTACATATACACTTTGATGTTATAAGAAAAATAAATAAATAAATAATTTTGAAGAAGTGATTTTGGTTAAGTATTGTAATTTTTGTTCTAATTTACTTATATTTATAATTTTAAAAACAAATTACGCATTGTTTATAATTTTAGCAGTATCATCGAGGTAAAAAAAAAAATTATTCTTTATCTCTAGATATGTTTCATTTTAATAATTTGACCCTATGATCTAGAAACAATTCAGAGGAATTTATAAGTATACTCTAAGAATAGGTTTCAAAACAAAAAGTCTCATGAAAGCTGGCAACTCCTGGCTTTGGGTCCCGTCCTACTTTTCTCTTCAATTGCCCCCTTTCTTGGTTCTCACTTTCTTTCAATTAATCACCGAAAACACATCTTTAGATGGAAAAGTCTGTAAATTAAAGGTTCAGACGCATAAGGTGTATGACCAAACTATTTTTAATTTTTTGAAAGACCAAACAAACAGTTTTCAAAAGACAGAGCGTGTAAATGAATGGCAGTGGCGCATAAGGTATATCACCATAACTGGCTTCAAAATACATAGAAATCTGTTCACTTATTCTTTCTAAACAAAACAAATAAGTCTTGCATATAAGTTAATAAAACTATGAATATACTGAGAAGCAGCATTCTTTACTTTTGAACACCTCTCCATGTTATTCAAAAGTTTTTTATTTTTCTTAACCACAAAAAGAAAATCTTAAAATACATAGCACAAAAATGTGTTACTGCTCCAATATTTTGAAAAAAAAAATTTGCATATAAAAATATAACAAAAGCATTTGTTACAAACTATTATTTTACAATCAAACCCTAATTGAACACATTTTTTCTTCAATAAGCATTCATGAATATGTTCGAAGTCAAATTGTTTTGGAAGTATAAAAGGAAAAAGGGAAGCAGCCAAAATCCCAAGCAGATCCAGCACTTAACTATTGACCACTAATAAAATAATTAATTTGCATGGACCTAATAAAACGGATCCTACCCTTCTCCAGAGGGTACAAGGGTTTGTTGTCTTCTTGTCGCGATCCCGTGTTGTTATTATCCGCGCCACACTCCCCTTAGCTGGCCATGCCCTGTCCCCACATACCCCCCCATAGTCGATACAAAAACTGTCATCAATTCCCTTCAAAGTCCAAAACTTGCACCATTTAACTTCTCCAATTTCATCATCAACTGCCAAAAGACAAACGCGTTATCAAGCTGGCACTCGCTCCACTCACACCATCCCCATAATTTGACTTCATCACCAACCCACTATATATATCCACCAACACTTCTCTCTTCTCCACCAATTCACCAAACAACAATTCACCTCTTGTTTCTCAAACAACATAAACAAATGGCATCCCTTACATCTTCATGCCTTCTTTTCACCCTTTTTCTCACTATCTCCATTCTTCAGCTGAGTTCAGCCAGGAGACTCACTGGCTCAGACACCCAATTGCAATTCCAATACCACAAAGGCCCTCTCCTCACAGGCAAAATCTCAGTTAACCTCATTTGGTATGGCAACTTCAAGCCTTCCCAAAAAGCCATCATCACTGACTTCATCACCTCCCTCTCCTCTCCCAAACCCGTCACCGCCCAACCATCCGTCGCCACGTGGTGGAAAGCCACTGAAAAGTACTACAAAAGCTCATCCCCCAAACTCGCCCTTTCCCTGGGCTCTCAAATCGTGGATCAGAACTACTCCTTAGGCAAATCTCTCACCACTAATCAAATCCTCAAGCTCGCAGCCAAGGGTCCACAGGCCAACGCAATCAACGTGGTTCTCACGTCCGCTGACGTGGCAGTGGAGGGGTTCTGTTCCAGTAGGTGCGGAACTCACGGGTCCTCCGTGGGGGCGCGCGTGAACGGGAAGAGGTCCAAGTTCGCGTACATCTGGGTGGGTAACTCTGAAACCCAATGCCCGGGTCAATGCGCCTGGCCATTCCACCAACCCATTTACGGTCCCCAGAATCCACCTTTGGTTGCACCCAACAACGATGTTGGTCTCGACGGCATGATCATCAACGTGGCTAGTCTCTTGGCTGGCACTGCCACCAACCCATTCGGGAACGGGTACTTCCAGGGACCCAAAGAGGCTCCCTTGGAAGCTGGTTCCGCCTGCACTGGGGTGTACGGTAAGGGTGCGTACCCCGGCTATGCAGGGAACCTCTTGGTGGACCCCACAACTGGTGCCAGCTACAATGCCAATGGGGTCAACGGCAGGAAGTATCTGCTGCCAGCTCTGGTTGACCCTAAAACCTCAGCTTGTTCAACGCTCGTGTAAAACCACTACTCGAAGTTTTCACCTTTCACCCTTGTTTAGCTGTTAGTTTATACAACATTTCTTCATTTCTTCATTCATTTATAGCTATAGATTCCAGGAAATTAGTCTTAACTATTACGATGTTGAGAAAAGAAGTAATAATAAAATTTTATATTTAGATGTATTAGAAATTTTAGTACAGTTGTATTAATAACGTTTTTATTGATTTTTACATTTTAAATTTAATGGGTGTTATTCAGACTTTATAGCTGCCCATTGATTTTAATAATCAAACAAAATTATAATTATTTATTAAAAGAAATAAATGAAAATTACTTCAAAAAATTATAAAAAAAAAAACTTAGATAAAATATAATTCCTCTTTTTGCCTATTAAAAGTTTATTTCTTAAATATTTGGAACTGATAAAATTTACGAAGTATAAAAGAATGGAGGAAGTATAATCATATCCTACCAACTACAATAACAATACTATCCTACTAAAAGAAATTTTATTGAACCAATGTTCTTATATTTGAATAAGGTATTAACCTTTATCTTAATTTTCCCTCATATAAATTACATCTTAATAATTGAGAATGCAACTCACTTAAAAATCGGTGATTTAAAATACTCTAGTAATACATTACATTTGTATTCGATTTGTCATGTCAGCCTCTTGCACTGGATATGCAGTTGTGAAGTTTTTATCTATTCCTGAATTATTATTGGTGGAAACCAATCATGTATATCACTCATGGATACAATGCTTCCACATATGAGGATATGCACTGAAAAACGTAATATATGACCTGTGGTGCAAATCATTTTTATGAAAGGATAAAATGTGATGAAATTTTCCTTAGAAGTTGTGATTAAATCTTAAAAGGCTAGAGATATGACCAAAAAGTATATACAAAATTCATCTAAAATTTAATTAAATATATATCTTTATTTCTAATAATATTATTTAAGTAAGTCTATATTATTAACAAACATATTTAATATTATTCTTTAAAACTTTCAAATATAATTATTTTAGATTAAATTTACTATTAAATAATACATAATTCACAAATTAAATCAACCAAATAGAATTTATTCTCTTATAAATTATTCGAAAATTTTCATTAATAAGAAAAGTTACGGTTTTTATCACGAACTTTTCTTTACCGAACCATTACAAAACAATTTTCAGGTTCATCTACATAAAGTGAACCTAATACTCCTTAATATAGTTTTTCTTCGTCAATATTCTTACAATCTTAATACTCTTTTCATTCAAAATCACTTACAACAACTTATTATTTTTTCTTTATGATAAATATAATTAAAAAAAATACTAGTATAATTGGTAAAAAATAATTAATTTAATCATAAATTTTACAAAATGTAGATATTTAGAAAATTCAAAATTTTCTTAAAAAAATTACACTTATTTTAAAACAAATGGAGTATAAAAAGGTAAAACATTAACTGAAATAATCCATGTGCTCCTTTATATGAACAAGGAAGTTTATCACTTAATTTTAATAAGTGGTTATTTCTTAATTGATGTGTTTTCGCATAAAATATGTGTCTCGCACTTTTAACTTTGACTTTATTGAAACTCGTCTTATATGACTAATCAATCAAGTTTCGTGATATAATCATAATAAATTTTGAGGAAGAGGTAAGTTAAACTTATTTGTTCACTAAGTAGTAGTACAAAACCTTAATACATCAAGCTCAAGGCGAATTTAATATTCAAAAGTCAATTGACATTTGTAATGTCTAACGTATATTTAAAGAGACAAAATTGGATTTAAATACAATATGGATGATAAAAGATAAAAAATTTACCTTGAAAAAAAAAAAAAAGAGACTCTTCCTCGCTTACACAAACAACAGAACTTCAATCAACCCAAAGGAATAATTTGAGTTTCTAAAAAGAGAAGAAGAAAAAAAAGGAGTGTTGAGAATTAAGTTGATTATATATAAACGAAATTTTTTTAAACTTAAAATAGGGTTGAAAAAATAACTTACATATAATCCTTTTAACATGAAAAAATTATTCAATGTAAGAAGGAAAATGATGAGATCAAGTCATTACAACAACCAACAATTATATAGTATTTCTTTTATCTTTTGATCTGTTCTCAATTACTTATAGTGGTCTTCAACTTACAGGTTCACTTTCTCTGCTACTCTTCTTGTGTGTTTCTATTATTTTAAAGTCTCCTATTTATAATAAATGATTGAGACTTATCCATTAATAATGTTAGTGGATATCAAATAATTTTCACGTTTCTAAAAATGAATTGTAGATTCTCGAAAGTTAAGGAAATGATTTAAAGATCTTAAAATAAATCATATTTTAATTCTCATAAATGATTATAGAAATTGCTTCCCTTTACTAAGGAATAATATTTCTAAGAAAAAAAAAAAGAACAAACTTAGGAGAAATAGTTAAGACTTGAAACATTTAATTTCTTCTATAGAACTTAGCTTAGAATGAGATTTAGGAGAGTTTTTAAGTTTCAATATTCATCACTAAACCACGAATCTTAGGTTAATAAATTGAGTTTTCGGTTAAAACTTTGAAATGATGGTTTATTTGTGTTTTGAAGAATTGAATAGAGTTTGTGATGTTGAAGGATGTGTTTGGATCCTAGGTTGAAGATGAGAATAAAACAAAGATTTTATAAAATGACAGGGATAAAATAGCCATTACACATTTTAGGGATTAGATTATTTTTTTATAAAAATTAAAAGAATATATGAATTATGATTAATGAGCAAGAACATAATAGACATTTATAGAATTATGAATATAGAATTAAACCATTTAGTTGATCATGGATCAAATGAAAAATATTAAAAGTTAGATAGGGACTAAATTATAAATAATAAAAGTTTCAGGACTAAATTGGAAATAAAAATAAAGATCAATTTGTAAATAATGAAAATTTGAGATCTAAATGCAATATTTAAGATATTTTAAAGTTTATTTTTAATTGGGAAAAAGTTAGAGGTAAAACTATAATCTTCGAGCAAATACAGAAGTTTTAATTTAATCAAGAACCAGAAAGATAATTAAGAATCTAGAATTTTCATAATCAAATAATAATGAGTAAAATAGTATGAAATAGTGAAATGTTGCGTTGCATTTACATTTGTTTTAGAGTCAAAAGTTTTTTTTTTTCGAAAAATATACTTATTTATGAAAATACTTGAAAAATGATTTTATAAGGTATTGTGAAGAACAATGGATGATGCGAGACTTTTTTTTCAAAATACAAATAAGAACAAGTGATGATAAATATATGAAAAAAAAAGTCATTATTGGAAAATGGTGCATATTTTTTTAGTTACTAGAAACAAAAAAAAGTGAGTTCGGTTGGGATGACTTTTGAATATGAATATTGATTTATGAAGATCTCTAATGTTAAGCATGATATTATTCTTACGACATATTATGTCATACAAAGAGAAAATAAATTAGTTTTATTATGATTGAAATCATAATGTATCAAACTTATATATAAACAAAATAAAATTAACTAAAGTAAAAAAAATCATTAGACTAAAGATTTGAAGATAAGAGGTTCAAGATAATTAAATTTGTTCCCAGGTATAAATTCTATCCAAGATCATCTTAAATGTATATTATATTGTGGTGTTACATATAATACATTTTTAAAATAGCTAATATACATTTATATAAACTAGAAAAAACTTAGGGTCATCTGTCTCCAAACAATACAAATGGAACACGGGTTTGTCTTTTGGTCCTGCTGAACAACTGTTTTTTATAATTTTTTGAGCAAAAATAAATAGTATATATGTACCCAACGAGAAGCTTGTGCTGGAAGATCCAGGCAGCAGAGTCATACAAAGCTACAAACTAAGCCTATAGTTAAAGATCAAAGAAATACATCAAAAAGATACATAAAAGAGATACAAGAAAGATGTTACGTTCTAAGCTCTAAGATATTACATCAATATGGGGATACAAGTGAAAGATAGTATGATAGATCTACCTCTTGATTTTTACAAGGATTTCATCAGTGTTGAAAACCTTTCCTTCAAATGCTTTGCTGTTTCAGTTCATCCAAATCAAGTAAATAGTTGTCGCTAGTGCAATATGCTTGGCCTTCGCTTGAATTCCAGTACCTATGACGTTGTACTTGAGCCACCTGAATGCTGCTTTGATGGAGTTGTGGCCTCGTTGTTGCTCAACCAATGGAGAATATGCTTCCAGATTTTGATGGTAATTTGGAATTTGAAGAAAAGGTGCTCAGTGGTCTTTGTCACTCTCCCGCATAAGAGACATGCGGGGTCTTGATCAATATAAGTCACTCTGTCCTTTGTTAGCAGCTTGCCTCTAGCAGCAAGCCAAAGGATGAAACTGTGTCTAGGAACAAGATAGTTCTTCCAGACCATCTGCTCCCACCAAATTGTTGGTTACTTTGGTATGAAGAAATTGTACGCCTTTCCAGCAATGAAAGTGTCGTTGATAACATAATCTTCAATCATAGTCTTGACTGTCTCCAAAGAGCCAACTTCAGTGATAATTTCATCTCTAATTTTGCAAATTCTTTTCATCAAAGGGGAAGCATCCCTAAGCGGAGGGAAATACCAGACATTGTTTCCATGAAGGTAATAATGGTGGATCCACCTGATCCAAAGAGACTCAGTACCTGCATGAAACTTCCAGGCAATGTTAGATAAAAGACTCTTGTTCCAGTAGCTCCAATTAGATTTTGATGTTCAACTCTTCCTTGTCAAAAATCTTTCCTAGCCCAATTAGATGATTGACTATGTGCGTGAACCTTTTCTGTACATCTGCAATTGTTTCTCCTTGCTGCATTTTAAACTATTCATAGTCCCTAATTAACTCATGCTTTCTCGCCCTTTTCAGATCATATGTACCTTCATGTGTGACCTCTAGGATTCCCCACATTTCTTTGGCAGAGGCACATTGAGACACCCTGAAAAACTCATCAAGATTTAAAGCAGAGGTAATAATATTTTTAGCAG